GTACCGCAGGGCTCTATTCTGGGACCTGTGCTTTTTGTTTTATATGTCAATTCAATAGAAAATGTAATAGGTAACGTAGCTTTTACCATGTATGCCGACGATTTATCTCTGATTATTTCAAGTAACTCGGATAAAAATCTTAACATCGGTATTAATAAAACGATTGAAAATATATGTGCATGGTTTAATCAGAACTATTTATATTTAAATGTAAATAAAACGCAAATGATAAGGTTTCATAATAGACAGAGAAAATGTGACGACCTAACAATAAAAATTAATAACTGTGTCATTAAGAATGACACTTTAGGCAGTGTTAAATTTCTGGGAATTTATTTCGACGAAACCCTTAATTGGAAAGTGCATTGCAACCATCTCGTTTCCACTTTAAGTTCAATAAATTTTTTATTTAAAAACATGAAAACAATTTTATTAAAAAATCAGTTAATTAATTTATATTATGCTCAAGTAGAATCGCGTCTTCGTTATGGTGTCTGTTTCTGGGGTGATTCCACCCTCTCACATTCTGTTTTTATTTCACAGAAGCGTATTTTGCGCAATATTGCTGGTGTACCTAGTGAACATACCTGTAGAGATATTTTTAAACAATACAAAATTTTAACTTTAAGTTCGTTATTTATATTTGATATGTGTATTTATGTTTTTAAAAATAGGCAAAAATTTTATTTAAGTAGTGACATACATGGTGTAAACACAAGGCATAAGAATAATATTCGGGTACCTTTTTCTAAATTGTCAATTACCAATAAGTCACCAAATTATTTGGGGCCTAAAATTTTTAACAAATTACCTTTTGAATTAAGACAAGATAAAGTATATTTTTATCAATTTAAAGTAATGTTAAAATTATATTTAGTGACCAAATGTTTTTATTCCTTGGGTGAGTTTTTTGCTTCCTAGGTTAAGTTACATTTGTTTTTTACTTTAAATATCTGCTATACGTATAAGTGACTATTGTTATACAATTTGTAATTGTCTCAAAACAAAAAAAAAATCTGTAACATTTTAATGGTGTCTCATCCCTTATCAACCCTTTAAAATGTTTCAACTGAACTCTACTTACTGTCGATTCGTGGCACACTCACACCGTAGGTATACCAAATTTGGTTTTTCGAAGATATTGATTTCCTGTGTATCGAAATAAATTAAATAAAATTATTACCCACAATGCAATCTTTATTTATTTTAATTAATTTCACCTCATACATCTAGCCATGCTAGAAATTTGTATCAAATTCCGATATAAGTTAGAGATATCTTTGGAGAAACAAATGTTGAAAATGTCTTTTAAATTATTTGAATATTTTTAATAAAAATAAGTTTTACAATATTTAGAAGAAGGGCACTAAAAATAATAATAATTAATACTAATTCTCAAGAATCGACTTTGTAATGACTGTCTTAATTCAAATTCACCCTCAAAGACACTTTTATCATGAAAGTAAGTAAGACTATTAAGTTGAACATTGAGCTAAAATATAGTACCTAGATTATTATCGTAAATTATACGTTTTCAAACGCAGTAATAAGTAGCGTTGGTTAGAGTTCTCTACTATATATAAGAATATGTGGAAATTGTTCATCATTTGCCTTAATCTACAACAACTAACGCTACTTAACAGAAATGGAAAACAATTTTTGCCATAAACATTTTCTCTTTCTTGGAGCACATCCCTTCCATTCGTTGAGAAAATGGCTTTGCATTTTCAACGTGACACTAATAATATACTTCCTATTTATGGCGTTATACAAATTTTATCGTGATAATGACCCAGAAGCCTTGGAAATAGTTATGTGTATGATCCTCGTAAGTACAGTGCATCCCATTTTTTTTGTTATTCTAGAATATCTCATTGATCATCAAAGGTGTTTTTTAATTTTGACACTTACGGTGATTTTTGAGAGGTATACATATATTTGAACTTTTTCATATTTTCGCGCAACTATTTTTCGCAAGGAATTCAGTGGCGTATTTAATTTTAAAATAACTGTAACGGTTTCAACTTTAGCTGGAAGCTTATTCGCACGATTTGTACACAATTACACCGAAAAAATATTTACGCTAGTTAAATTTAAATAAATCAGTTGGATTTAACACAAATTATTTAGAAATTAATTAGAATTTAGAAAAAGAAACAGTTTACAATAGATTTCTTTATAATTAACTAATTAGATTTAATATAGCCATTTATGATTTTATAATATCTTGTAGGCGAATTAAAATACTAAATTTTCAATAAAAAATTTTTCCCTAAGTAACGTAGTTTTATATTATCCTATCAAAGATTCTAAATTAAGTTTTGCAACAACATTTTTCCAAAGATATGTATAATTTCTTATTTGTGAACCAGTTATAAAATTTTAACGTCTGGATAGTTTGCAACTTTAATATGTTCAGTAGTACAAAACATATTTAAGCATTACTCCAATCACGTAACCAAGTTGTGTTCTCCCCTGAAAGTCATTTCCGCCATATACAGGGTGTATGAAGTTTCACTGCCATTACTTCAGCATGAGATAGAGTAATCATAAATGAATTAAAAAGTTGTATATGATAGGGGCGTAAGATTCACAGTTTTCAAAATATAGCGAGTATTAATATTGGAGAGTTTCATCACAACGTGACAACAGCGCTTAACCTAATGCTATACAGCTGATGCACACCAAGTGTGCACGCGGCAGACTTGTCCTACGAAATAACAAAAATATAAACAACTATTACTGTGAATCATTATAGTAAATTTCAAGAAAATTGTTTTCCAGTTTTTAAATAAATCAAAAATGTAAGTAAAATTCAGTAATTTTTAAATGCACGAGTACAAAACAAACTACAACATATGCTCAAAATGTCTACCATCATTTTTGATGCACGCACGACACCTTCGAATCCAATTTTCGCGCACTCCCTGGGAAATACCTGGAGATGTACTTATTTATTAGGCAGCGGCAAAAATTCGTTCCCGCAAGTCTTCGACTATCGAATTGCAGATACGAACTGGATAGGGTATTGTTGGTTGTTGGACACCTTACTACCTCGTGTTAACTGCCGCGCCGTTGTCACATTGCTCGATATAAATTTTATCGAATTTTAAATTTATTACAATGCTAATTGATGTTGACCTATATATATTTTTTAATTACCTATATCTCAGCTGCATTTCACGCTAATTTATTGTCCATTGGCGATAATTATGGGGGAATATTTGTTCTTTGAAGATGACCATAGTAAGACTTGAACAGTTTCACTGCTAAAAAATCTTAAAGTAAATTTTCATCGATTTTTGCATTTTTCTCGTAAACGTACAGCATTTACTGTGCTATCGGGTTTTGCTTCAGCCTTGGGCACAATGCAACAGAAACTTTTACAAAATGTCAGCAGGCGTATAGAGACAGTGTTTTGTCAAGAACCCAGGTTTTTCGGTGGTTTAAAGCATTTTCAGAAGGAAGAGAGTCGATGGAAGATGAACCACGCAGCGGATGGCCTTCAACTGCAAGAACCAATAAAAAAATCGGCAGAATACAGGATTTATTTTAGGCGTTTAGATCGTCGCTTGACGATCAGTATGATCGGGAAACAACTGAATTTAAGTCACAGCACCATTCGTCATGTTTTGACCAATGAATTGGCGATGAGAAAGATCTGCTCGAAAATGGTTGCAAAAAATCTTTCACGGGAATAAATAGGACATCTGTCATGATTTAAGTTGGTATTTACTTATAATATTGAATAGTATAAAAAAGTATCCTTGTACTGAACTGACAAAGGAATTCGAATAAAACTCAGTATCTCTCAGGCAGTCGTTTGATTTATAACATGGCGCAGCCGGTAGAGGCTTAAAAGTTATAAAAATTAAAATAGTATAAAAAGTGATACCAGTTTGTGGACATTATAAACAATTAAAATGAGTTTTTTTTCTGATTGTCGTGGTATAACTCCTATGGATTTGTCAGGAAATTTATCTGAGAATTGGAAGCTATGGAAACAAAAATTTGGTGGCATCAGAAATAACAAGGAAAGATGAAAAAATTCAAATTGCACAACTTTTACACTACATAGGAGAAGAAGGTTTTAATATTTATAATACCTTTACATATGTGAATGACGAAGATAGAAACAAAATATATGTGATTCTAAAAAAGTTTGACAACCATTTTTTGCCTAAAAGGAATTTATCGTACGAAAGTTTGAATTTTTTACTCGTAAACAGTTAATAAATGAGACAATTGAACAGTTTGTAACTGATTTAAAAAATAAAGCGCGTTCATGTGAATTTGGTGATCTAAAAGACAGTTTAACTAAAGACATTTTCACGTGTGGCTTACAAAATCATGTGTTACGTGAACATTTATTACAAGATGATTCCCTGGATTTAGAAAAAGCTGTCAAATACTGCATTTCTGTTGAAAATTCAAAGGAACAATATTCTATTACTACACAACGTACAAGTTCCTTGACTTCTTTGGATGTACAAAGTGTACGTAAACCAAAACGTTTTGTTAATTCGTCTTCAAAGAAACGGAGTTTCTTTGTAAACCAGCAGCATCCTTCTCAGCAGCGGCAGGTACGGCAACCAGGTGTAAAATTTTGCAGTTCCGGGCAACTTAACACTTCCAGCAGCAGCACATCACGACTTCATGGAAATAATGGCATTTGTTCCAGGTGTGGAAGCGTACATGGTAAAAATCAGTGTCCTGCTTTTGGTAAAAAATGTAATTTATGTGGTTTTTCTAATCATTTCGCAAAAAAATGTGTTTTCAAAAAAATATTTACAATAAAAATTCTGAAGATAGAGTTCCGTTATATATTATTGAAAATATTAGATATCAAGATAAGTTAAAATCACAATGGAAATTTGATTCGGAATTTCGTTAAATACAATTGATTTAACTTAATCTGGCTTCTGGGTACAACAGAGAAAGATGCCTTGACTTTTCGGAATCGGCAAAAATGATCAATATTTTTTGGAACTGGTGATGAGATGTTTGAGTACGAGCCGAAACCGAAACGCCGGAATAGAATGGCACACCTCAGCCTCTCCAAAGCCCAAAAAAGTAAGAATGAGCAAGTCAAAGACCAAAAGCATGCTGACTTGCTTCTTTGATAGCCAAGGAATGGTCCACTAATAGTTTGTGCCTCAAGGCCAGACAGTCAATCAACACTTTTACCGAGAGGTTCTTGAAAGACTACGATAAGGGTCATGAGTGTGAGACCAAACATTAAGTACAATTGGATCCTGCATCACGACAATGCGCCTTGTTACACAGCAATTTCAATAAATGGGTTTTTGGCCTATAAATACATATATTCCTGTGGCTCCTCAGCCTCCCTACTCACCTGACTTGAATCCTTGTGACGTTTCCTCTTCCCGAGATTAAAAAATCATCACATGAACGCCATTTTGGGACACTCGAGAACATACAAATAGCTGTAACCCACCAGCTGAACATTATTCCAGTATCTGAGTTCCACCACTGCTACGAGGAGTGGAAGAACCGTCTCCAACGCTGTGTGGCTTCCCAAGTGAATTATTTTGAGAGAGGCATTATTGAATTGTCATTAATTCTATTCGAATAAAAATATTTAAAAACATCAACCTCTTTAGTACACACCTCCAATATTTCTTGAAAGAAAACTTTGTTACGTTAAGTATTTTTCCTTTGTTTTGTTAAATGTAAATAAATCGATTTTAATTTCAGGTACTGGCAAAATATCTGACGTTAATATTTCGACCAAAGTTGATAAGACAAATTGTGGAGGCCACGGAAAATTTCTGGGAGTTGAATGTTATGGAGGATCCAGTAACATTTTTCTTGGAACATCTAAAGCGAGTAGAGAATATTTGCAAATACACATTTGTATTGGCCCTCTTATTACTTGGTGTTAAACCGTTAGTTGTAAAGGGGTCACCCGTGTTTAACTGCTATGTGCTCCCTGGAATATGGTACCCATTCCACTATGTTGCTGAGATGTACACCCTAACTGTTGCGGCATCCGCCTTTCTCTCTTGGAATGTGTTTGTGTGTTTTCTCATAATTTTAGTTGTCGTGCAATTCAGATTGTTGAACTTAAAGATTGAAGCTCTTAATTGTGAGGATGTCGAAAACGAACACGACTTTGACAGAAACGTACGCGGCTTGAAGTCCATGATTCAGTACCAACAGTACCTAATGAGGTGGGTGCACTTCGTTGTACTCATTTAATAACCACTGTTATTTACGAATTAATATCTTTTTGAAGTCTTTTTCCTTGTTACTCACTGTAATCGCCAAAATTTTCTGGGAAATAATAACATAATAAACGTAATTTGAAATTCATTAGGCAGCCTAGGTTTTTAAAAGTTTCTACCAAATTCGATACAATTTCTTTATAGTTTGGACTCTATCGATTTCCCAGAAAAGTTCCTTAAAACATAACCATGCTGCTTTCTCGTTTTCATTTAGTTTAGTTACAAATATGTGATTCTTCAAAAAAGATCTAGGCTGCTTAATTAATCCCAAATTACATTTTTGATCTTATGTCGATTATTTCCCTGAAAATTTGGATGATTACAGTGAGGAACAAGGAGAAAAATTTCACCAAGATATTAAGGAAGTCGGTACCAAGGCAGATGGGATATAAACATGTCATCCGATTACTGCTGGTCATTAAAATGATTTTTGCCATCGAAATCGAGAAAACGTAATAGAAATCATCACTTTGCAGATTTTTTGACAGCAAAATAGTTCGATACCACAAAAGTGAGTAGTAGTCATTAACGGGCATATTGTTTTAAAGTTTACTTATTGATACTAGAATTTTGTCATGTCAAAACAATTAATTCGAGAGTCATGGGCTCAGAGTTAAACCTTTCTTTCTTTAAGGATGGAAACTGATGCGTTTCTGGTTGCCTAAACTATACCGAAAAATGGTAGAAAACAGCCCTTTTTTTATACCGGAATATATCTTTTTAAAGCAATGGAAGAAAGTAGTAAAATTTCATATCACATTTGGCAAAGTATAAATGAAGACAGTAAAGCAAACATTAATTGGGATAGGTAAATAATTCGTGAGAAATTAATTTCTAAATATGAAGTTTTTTGGAACTTTTACAAAGAAACGATTATTTCTTCATAGTATTATAGAATTATGCAATTTTTTATATAGTTGTCTTTAAATAAATAAACTGATTAGACTTTATTTCATAGTTTGTTCATCACTTTATTATTTAAAAAGTTATATTGGAATAAAATTATTAAAAAATATTCATTCATGAATAGCATTATCTCCGACTTTTAATTCGCTTGATTTGTAATAGATGTCGCACTAGTAAAAATTTATTTATGAATGGACTCGGGTTATTTTTAACGAACAGCTGTTGTATGTGGTTAATTTGGTATAACCTGATTCTGAATTGGTAGTCATGGTTTCTGTTAATTGATACGTAAATATTTAAAGAATGTCATGATCATTTTAGATATATTTTTGTATAAAAGTATATAAGTAACAGTGCAAGTCCATACTATTATATAATTTTAGAAAATATGAAATATAAACAATTTTTAGTTTATTTAAAACCATAATTTATAATTAATATACCTATATTAGTATCTACGGTTAGTGGATAAGAGGGAAAACATTTTTATTTTCTATTCTACTAGAAAAAGTAATTCGTGACAAAAAATATTTTGCTTTTTAATTGAATATGTTTGTCATGAAAAACTGTAATTTATATATATACAGGGTGATCAGAAATTTAACAAAATTAATAACGTTGAAGAATAAACTGCTTTTGTTTTTGATAATATAAAAAAATGTTAATAAGAAAAGTTGTTCATAACGGAAAGTTATGTTATAATTACGATTTGTGAATAAAGCGGCTTACTTTGGTATAAACAGAAATGGAAAATATTATATTTTTAATAATTAATATTAAGTAATTCTTGATAAAAAAAATTCGCATATTAATATAAATAGAATTTTAATTGTGAATATACATAATAATGAGAAAATATAAAAAATATGTACGATATACTTATTTTGTCCAAAAAATGTGTAAAGAATTATGTACAAAAGGACGATTTGAGACTAAATTTTTTTTATGAGAAATAGGTATTCAGTTCACTTCACTTGAAAAAATAGTTGTAGGTACTTTAATACCTCCAATATAAACAGAAATTCTGTGGAACAGTGTAGTTTAATAAATATGTAAATAAATGAAAGTAATAAAGAAATAAATAGAATAGGTACAGTAGAACAGGAAAAAATTTAAAAAATCATAAAATAAAATTATTTCTTTTTATTAATTTGAGCTTCTATAATATATTCTGGATCCATACATCTTTTTCCCTGTGGAATATTTTTGTATATTATTTCTGGTAGTATACAATTTTTATAAAATTGTTCCAAATTTGTTGCCATTGATTTTTTCCATAATTCTTCATCTTTCTTAATTTGTTCTACATAGAGCGGGTTGTTTTCACCACTATAGGTATATTACGAAATAACATATAGACTTCTTCCGGTTATATTTAACTGTCTCTGTATCTGAAAGTAAGAAAAGAATTTTACCAGATAATATTTGTTATAAACATAGATAATTATACATTTTTACCTATTATGCTTTTGATTTACCATAATGATATATCTAGTCATATATAGGGTGCCACAATAGTGCGATAAAGTTTAGTATAACTGCCTGTAGTAGTGATACGAAAAAAGTTACTTGCTCGGATTCACATTTTATTATTATTTCCATTATTCATTATTTTCAGACCGAATTAAACGTTCAGAAAATCTTGTTTTTGGCCTGAAGATTTTGCCCTATACAACTATAACAGAAAATAATTATAAACTTTGTCACACTATTGGAACAGCCTGTATTGTGCATTGCAACAACAATATGTCATATTTATATTACGGCTAAGTAAGCGGAAAGTCCATTGTCGCATATGTAATTTTTATTTTCAAATAATCAAATACAATACCTACATATTTATTTTAATATCTATTATTTACTTGAATTTAGTGCTAAGTACAACTATGCCTAGCAAATTGTAATACTTACTCTGTTAATGTTTTTTCCTTCATATAAAAAATAGTAAACTCCACAAATAAAATATTTCGCAGCCACAACGCAACAATAAAAGATAACAGCTCAAAGATCCATAGAAGAAATAGAAGAATCAGATGAAACGGGACTTCAATTTCCGTTCTTAATCTTATTTGTTACTCAAATTTTAATAGGTATACATGCTTGATTTGAGTGCTTTGAGTTTAGAACTTGAAAGTATTTGATCGTATCAAACGGATCTCGGATTTTGACTGTTTGTTGGCAATTGATTCTCTATATTTAACCTAGAATTGACCTTAACCCAGGCCTGATCGGATCAAACGGGCACCGGATTCGGATTCAGGGACACAAAAAAATATTTTTGTGGGGCTGTGTTATTATTGTAATTAAATTACTGCATTGAACACAATTTTTGCCAGGACCTTGCACACGTGTCCAGATAATACACAAGAAGACTTTGAACTGGGGCAATGGGAATATAATCTACTCGTTTTTAGAGTTCTACTGAATGAATTATGTTTTGTTTGAGAAGCAAATTTTGCAGATCTAAAGAACAAACAGGGATAATGGAATATTTCTCATAACATAACCGATTTCCCTGCATCCACTTTTTTGTGTTCCTGTGTAATTTTTATGTTTCTCTAAGTAACATGTCAATTAAAATATAGCTACGCCGAACCATTACTTAAAGATATAGATATGTTAAATTTAACATTTTAAAATTCAGAATGCAACTGACTGTTGACCGTCATTATAGGAAAATAGAAAGAAAAATTATAAAACAGCAAACGAGGATCTTTAAAACATGATACCATTTGTTTTAAAATTTTCTCCTTGGTAATTTCACCGTCTTATGGACCGTCAGGTCATCAAAATTATTTTTCTCAACTTCATTTTTTTATATTATATGAAATGTTTTTCACTACTTGTCCCTTTCAAAGGATAAGTATCAGAGGATATGTATAGATAAATTGAACACGAGCAAATTAAAAAAAAAGTGAATAATGCATGTCAGTTATGAATGATAAACATTGAAGGTATTTTGTTTTTTACGGCAACGCTGTAAATAATCTATTAAATTATGCTCTTCAGAGGAGGGTCAGTAAATATTGTTCCTGATTAAGCCCCGAACCTACCAAACGAGGTTTATAAAAATAATAATATAGTATAAATGCAAATATTTATGGAAGGCGTAATCTCCAATAAGAAGCATGTGATTAAAACCACAACAAAACAAAAAAACATTGGTTATTAATTCGCGACAATGGAAATTAATCCTTTCTAATAAGTTTTCCCTAGTGTCGACTGGACTGCATAGACTAAAGTTTTTAAATATCCCCATAAAAAGAATCTAATGGATTTAAATCTGGTGATCGAGGAGGCCAAGCCACTGGTCCTCCTCTACCTATCCAACGATTTTGGAAATGCCTGTTCACGTGTTCTCGAACTGTCAGACTAACGGGGTGGTGCCCCATCGTGCAAGAACCACATACCACGTCGTATTGGCAAAGGTAGGTCGTTTAGAAGTTTTTGCAAGTTATTTTGGAGAAATTCCAAATAAAGTTAGTTGCCCGGTTAACCCTCTAGGCAATACAGTCTAATGAAATGTTGACCGATAAAATTTGCATTGTTTTTGTACCTATCTAAAAGCCAGTTTGAAAATTCCATCCTTCACGGAAAGTCTACAGGAAGAAGTGCTCTTTAAGGATTCTAAGAACCGTAGATTTTGGGCAATTAAACTGGGCAGCCAATTTCCGGACACTTTTTGAAAAATCTGCTTCTACGGCATTTAGGTTATCTTCTTCAGCGATCTCACCGCAATTGATTTGATTACCACAATTGTGTTTGGCTTTAGCAAATGTTCCTGAAATTATTTACAGCATTCTAATTCTACATATTACCTACTCAAAAAGTACGCTAATGCAAGTAACAAATAAATTGTAATTTTTACCAGTCTCTCTTACCTAAATGCTGATCCACTCTTTCAAAAGTTTCCCTATCAGGAATTCTTCGATTTGGAAATTGTTCCTCATAAAGCTTTCTGGCATTACATGATGCAAGTCCATGCAGTAAATGCATGTCGGCATATTCAGTAAACGTAAATTCCATTACGGCAAATAAAATAAATCCGAGGAATAAAAAAAATAAGGAAAATATCAGAAGTTTTTATTCTTATTTAAATCAGTAAATGTCAAAAAAAAACTATAGCGACAAAAAACAAAGGGAAAAACAAGTGTAAATAAAAGTGACATTTTTTAGATAGGCACAGAAATATTGCAAATTTCATAGGTATATTTCTCTTTGTGGATGTAATAAAAATCATATTAAACAAAATTAGGTTTTTCTCGAAAACAGTTTAATTTATCGATATCAACCAAGAGTGCTTTTTTTTAGTTTGAGATTCAAGCTATCTAAAAATATTTTTTTGTGCCTTTATCGTAAAGGGTGTAAAAAATTGACATTATTGTGCTACAGCTAGTCCGTCCCTGGCAAACCAAGTAAACCAAATTGTATTCGTGGGTCGATTTTTAAGGAGTATTATCTATTGTCCATCATATTAAAAAATAGTTAAATTACACAAAATATTTTAAAAGTTATTTAAAAAAATCGATTTTTAGGGGCCTGTACCTCCGTAGGAGGGCCCTTTAGGGAAAATTTTTATAGAAATTTGTCATGTTATTTTAACGTTCCCTGTATAAATCCGAGAGTTTGCCCACATATTTTGGGACATCCTGTATAAAAGGCATATTTTTAGAAATTACTAATAGCTCGAAATTTAACATAACAACGCTGCTGAAATCAAGAACAAACTTGATTAAACCTGTTTTTATACAAATCGTTCTATATCTTTTGAATGGGAAGAGATATTGAAAGACCTTTATATTTCATGTGATGTACAAAAATGTGTTCAAAATAGGGGAAAATAATTTCAATGATGTCATAGATGTCATAAAAATAAATTTTAAGTAAAACACTTCATCATGTCAAAAAAGACCTCGGCTTGTGTTTTCCAATTGTTCTTTTCATTTTCTTGTAATGGTGGTCAATCATCAGTTCTGGGTCACCCTGTACAGAGTGTCAAAAATATTTCGTCAAAATTAGAGAAGTTCATATGAATACGTCCTCTAAAATGTGTTACAAATAAGTAGCAGTCCCTTGAATTATAAATTATAAAGTTGATTTTTATTTTCACACAGCTGTTCACAGCATGTGTTTGTAATTAAATTTTTCAAAAATTTTTATATAATTCTATATACATTTTTATAATGCCAGAATAAAATTAATATGGGGGCTTGTGCTGACGAGGGTAGAGGTATTTTCCACCATTTTCTTTCGGTTTGAAATTTGAACTTCAAAGTTTGAACAGCTTCAAGTAAACTTATACAGGGTGATTTAGGTTTAATCTGGATAATTTCAGGAATCGATGGAACAGGTTAAAATAATGTTCATTCATAATATAAACTTATTTCCGTTTCGCACCGTTTCGGAGGTAGAGGGTGTTGAAACAAGAATTTTTTCCCGTTTTTCCCTCGTAATTTTTGAACTTAATGATACTTTTAACGTTGATTTTCACAGTGTGAGTTTTGTTTTTCTTGGATTGCTATAACGTTAAATGAAATTTACGCGGCTAGGTCACTACCTCGGGGCTACACTGTCACGAATTTCATTGAATATCTCAGAAACAAGGCCAAATATTGAAAAAAAAACAAGAGACGAAAAAGTTTCAAAATTAAAGAGGCCAAAGTATCGTGCAGCTGTTTTATTGAAATTAATAATTTTTTTTAAGTTTTGAAATAATTTGAGGTAGGTGATTCAAACTTAAGGAGCTAATGTAAGATCATAAGGAGTGTTTGTATTCCGAATATCATTTCAATCGGATGAGTGGTTCAAAATTTATGAGGGAAAAACGGTAAAAAAATTCCTACTTCAACGCCCTCTATCTCCGAAACGGTGCGATTTAGGAAATGTGTGAACGAATGAACATTATTTTAACCTGTTTTATCGATTCCTGAAGTTATCCCGATTAAACCTGAATCATCCTGTATATTTGACATACATTCTTTTTAATTGCAATGTTAAAATTTCTATTACTCGTTTTTCTTTCCAGATATGTCAAAGATTTGAATGAATTATTATATGTGCCACTTGCACTAATGATGATCACTAGTGTCTTCTTAATGTGTTTAAACATGTACACCCTAACTACAAGGTAAATGTTTTCCCAAATAAATTTAATAAAATATTAAGTTAGTTGTTTAATATAAAATAACTTTTCCTTTCATTACCATGGGATATTTAGGCAATGTTTAAAACACATTCTAATCCCATAAACATTTTTTCAGTGAAGGGACTATGGTTGATAGTGGTAGAGTTATGTTAACTTCTTTCGCCTTAGTCGTGGAATTTCTTATTGTATATGGCCTTTCAGCGCAGTTATTAATGGACGAGGTTGGATTTAAAAATACTCAAATATACATATACGGTGTTAAAAAAAGCTGAAGAAAAAGTAAAGAATACTCCAAAAAATCATAAAACAAATGCCAGATAAACATGTATCTTTGTTTCTGAGGTACACTTCGTTAGTCAATTTTCGTAAAACTGTTTGACTGAATCATTTCCAGTTTGATACAGAATATTACCTAAAAAGTGTGAAAGATTTACATATGCCCCTGATAAATGAAATAAGTTAGCAGCGTAGGTATCGTCATCCTTTTTCAAACAGAACTTTTGCGTCAGCGAAACTTTCATATTTTAACTTTTATTATTTCTATTAGTTTATTGTATTTAATAATTTCAGTTGCCTGCTTGCCATTTAATAACACAAATAATGCCGTTGTATGGCACACATGCATTTTATGAACGGATGTGCTAATGGTAATGGACTTGAAGCTCGTCATCAGTATACTAATTATTCAGTTACTTCCGGTTGAATATTCGCTAGATTTAATTACTGACTTCGATATAGTGAAAGATTTGATGAACCATGGAAGACATAGATTTGTTTGTGTACCTGAGAAATTCGCATTTACAGCAAGATTTACGACAGACAGAATTTCCATAAAGGCTACCTCTGTGTTAACCAGAATTCACATAGTGTTGTTGAAGCCAGGAAGACAGGTTGATACGAGCTATCGTATTATATGTAGAATCAGTTAACAGACCTGCATTAACATAAAATAATACAGTTTGATCAACTAATCTCTAGTATAATCTTTCCTAAGTCATTTCAACATGAAATTTAATGACTTTCATAGGCGTCCCTAAAAAAATTTTCTGCTAAGAGCAAAAATTATAATAATTTGTGTATAATGTGTAGAAAATTTCTATTATATGTTCATTTGGCCAACAACATATTCTAATTATTTATGTCTTCAAACTTCATTGATGGTAAATTTCGTTTTGTTCAATTTCAAAAAGTCTCCAAAATGTCATGTTAAATGTAATAATATTAGTAAACAAAATATCCCTCTTAGTTCTCCCTTTCCCAATTGTAATGTGAATGATTATTATTAGAATTGTACCTAATAATTTAAAATTTGCCACTGCACTGCCAGGCGACAACTGAAATTTATGACGCAGTCGACCAGAGCAACTGTGAGTGAACGCTTTTTGTCCGCACGCGCATTCTTCAACTGGGCGTTTACATTTCTACCACCTGCACATTTAGTTCGACCAGACCTGTATATGGGTATGGCTAAATAAATATGGGAACAAGTTTTTCAAATAATTCAATGCCGAGTTGCTGCGTAGCGACCGAGCCTGGTACATTCTGTCAAATTCTTGGTTCTTCAATTGAAATCGGAAAGACTATAACGTATTAACTAAAATTATAAACAACTATTTTTTAGAATTAAGAATTATTTTTTTTTTATTGCAAAGAGCTAACCAGAATGGTGCTGTAGAAGCCAGGGAACCTTCATAAATGATTACAAGCCACAAAATCACCAAGCTTAGGCAACCAACATTGCACGTTGGTACTGTCAACTAAAAATCCCTAAATCTTAGCATCATCAATATCATCATAATCTACATTTGCAATGCCCAATGACAAAACATTGTGTCTATGCTCGAGATAATGGCATCGCCGATTAGATGAATAAAGCGTCGTGATAAATTACACCAATCACAAGCTGATGTAACAGAATTTTGTATTCTAACGTATCCTTGATGTCACTGTTTCAATAAATTTTAATTTTACCATAATTGAAATGCCAACGCGAAAGAACTAAAATTACTATTTCAAACAATAACCTGGACACGTGGCTTGTAATCATTTATGAACGTTCTACATAATCACTTAGATATCTACACTGTTTAAAATAGATGTTACGGCTACTTGAAAACGTTCACCTGGAGATCAAGCATGGTTTGTGATTCAAGCACGATGGTGCTCTTCCTTATTTATCATTACCGGTTCGAGAGCACATAAATGAAATTTACGGACGATTAGACTTGGTAGATCCATCTAAATTGCCAGACCTGAATACGCTACAATTGTTTATTTGGGGTTATATTAAATTTTTGATCTATGGTGTGGCTTGGTGGAAGTACTATTAAAATAAAGTGACAGTACATCTGAATCTCTGCTTATTTATCATCATTACCTCAATTAAATTGTGCAGTTCCATTAGGTAATACCCGTTGCCAAATTTGAATTGATTTGATCAACACGTTTGGAAGATAATGAGCGTTCAAATAAAAACGTGGTCGAAGTTGGCTCTGACACATTGGACGTAGGGCGTAGCTTATAGCGACCAACTTAACCTCATTTCTCAACGAGCTGTATAGCAGCTGTCAGTTTCAATAACAAAGCGGCGATACAGCGCTTTGACAGATGACGTTTAAGTTCATTTGCTATACGCTACGCCCTACGTCCAAATTTTCAGAACCAACTTGACCACGTTTTTATTTGAACGCTCGTTATAAGCAGATATTTTAGGAAAACTTGACACTCTACATCCCGGATCTTGCATTTGAAATATGTTGACACTTTTTTCTTATTTTTGTGGAGTACTCTTTGCTTTTAAGACTTTTTACACTTCTTTAACTTCATATAGGTACCAAAATTATAAACTATTATTTTTTAGTCAGAAGCTACAGCAGACATGATATATTTTGAGTGCGAATGGTACTTACCGAATTTACGGCCCTTGCGAAAATATTTTTTAATTATGATGACCCGAAGTCAGAAAGATGTTTGTATAAGGGCTGGAAATTATCATATGATTAATAACAGGACTATTCTAGTTGTAAGTAGAAAACGCAATGTATACTTATATAAAAAAGGGATAAATTTGCTAAAGCTATTATTAACTGAAGCACATTGTATTGTTCCTTCATTACTTGTAAAAAAGCTAGATAAATATAGTTAGTATACCACAAACCACAATATTACCTTCATAACAGACCTCAATCCTATCGAGATCATAAATAAATCTGTACAAACAGAATGAACTTCAGGAATACCTCAAGGCTCTATCCTTGGGCCCCTACTATGGGAAATATAGTAATAAATGATTTAAATGTGAATTTGCTGTTATATACAAGTTTTTTATCCAACACTTGTATATAATATACATATATAATTTCTTTGGTTTTAAAGGAATAATGTGGCCTATATGTCACTAGTGAGTTATAAAGTCATAAGTCGCTAGTAAGTTATGGCTTTATAGACTAGAAATCATCACAATCAATTTGAAACAATAATAAGCCAACGAATAACCTAAAATGCTATAAACTTACAATCTACCTACTTATTGATATTAACATTAACATTTATGGTAAACCCGTAATTTGATTGCAAAGGATTATTGGAATCATTTTGTGATTGTGGTAAATTTATAGAACAGGTTGTCCCTTTCCTTGTGCTTGCTTCAGGAGTCTGCACCCCTTGTATCTTGTTAGCAATATCAATTTTGCTGGAAATTGACTTTTCTACATAACCTTCTGCCACGGTAGAATAAGAAGTGGATCTTATTTGTGGAAGGGCGAAATGGGCGTTGACTAATTAGACGCCTTCATTATAGCCATCCTTGTCTATCACATGGATTTCTATGGCTTACTTTATCGCTCTCACGTAACTTCTGATAGACCATCGGTACTTTCCTACACTGTATACCGTAACACACTAGTACCATAAATAACTATTTTCTACATTTCTAATAACTTCAAATTAATTAATTTGATGTGTTAGAAATTATTTATAATTAAATCTAGATAAGTGGAATATCACGTACCACCCAACAAAATAATATGATAATGTTTGATTACGCACTTACTAATGAGATTCTCCTCCCACTGAAATATATGGATCTACCTACATCAATAATATGGTCACCGAATTATTCATTATAGGTATACCTATGTATACCAGTTGTTTTTAATAGATCGTTTTCAAATGATTTTAATTGTTAATATACGTAATATTGTTTAAGTTTTTTGTTTAAATTAATCATTTATTAAATGACTGCAATCTAATACTAGACATACTCAATTCACATATTTCTGAAGCTGCGTCACGTCAACTAAATTTGTTCTACTTTTCTATCCCTCGAACAAATTTTATAAAGCCACCACACAATATTTGCAGTATTCACGATAATCTGTCCACTTCTGATGTCATATTTCCTACAACATAACTAATCTTGAGAAAATTACTTTAAATTAAAATAAAACAAAAGTCTCTATTATTTTTTGTAGGACCTTTCTGTCGTTCAAATTGTGTTATTTATTTGTTTTTCTCTTTTCCGCTATATTCTATTTATTTGTATTTTTTGTGTATATCATATTCAATATATATACATAGCATAATATATTTATATTTATAGCATAATAATTTGTTTATTGCCAATTCTGTTACTAGGTTGAGGTCTATTGAAAAGCGTAAATAAAAAATAGGGAAAATTGTACTCCCTAATAAATAATTTCATTTTCAGATTATGAGAACAGCTTACAGCTTTTATACTTTCCTACAAAAAGTAGCATATGTCAAAGAATGAATTGACTAATTTCTCACAAGCGCTTACAGCAATACGTGTCCTAGATATTAAAATATTTGCTTAAAGTTTATATTGCCACCGTATGCGGGCTATTCCGTGAAGTTATTGGACACAGGTACATCTACAACTGTTTTTTAACAGATTTATTAAGTGTCACTAGTACTAGTACGAGTAGCATTAGTTTGTTTTAACACAGATAGATATTGTGAATGAGCACATGAAATTGCAACACAATGTACACCAATCTTTCAATTACATTAAATAATCTTAACATATCGTGTTTTATTTTGTCATTTCCCTTGAAATCATTTTTGAGGTTATAAGTTTATGCTGTGGAACTAATTTCAGTTTAGCAGTTGCGACAGAGATTCAAAGAAACGAGGGTTTGCGAATCTGCAGGAATATTTAGAAAAATTACAGTTTTTGTTCCTTAAATGTTATTGGGTGTATGTTTAAAATGGAAGACACTTTGAGCAGTTATTGGTTTAAATTTAAATTCTTAAAATTTCAATTCTTTCAATTCTTAAAATGTAGAAATGGCCAACTACTCAAAAGCTACGCAAAAAACTTTCCACGATTCGATTTCATACATAAAATGTTAATATTAAAGGATGCATTAAATAATTGATACTATCTTTTACTTCGATCCAGATAATCGTTCGTCTAAGACTTTCCTGATTAACGGTCATTTCGTTCGCATACATATTTTATTAAATGGAAATACACATGTTTTTTTTCGTAGATCTTCCTGTTATGTACTTATACAGGGTGTTTCTTAATAACGTGCTTATATTTAAGGAGGTTATTCTTTGGTCAATTTTAAGAAAAAAACTTCATATGAACATATGTGTCTTAACTTTCGAACTACAGGGTGCTAAAGTTTTATGAAAAAACATTTTTTTATGATAACTTTGGTATTACCTTAGATATTTTTTCAAATTTGGTACACGCCTTCTATTCATCGAGATGCATTTTCTGATGCACAAACAATTTTATTATTTTTGCCAGTGGCGTCTGTACAGGTTTTGTATTGAATATTTTTTAAGAAAAATATGTTACGCCACTGCTTTTTCTTAAAGTAAAAATCATTTTTGAAATCCTCATTCCTTTCTGAGTAAATGTAGTGTCTTGAATTTTTTTCGTNCAAACAATTTTATTATTTTTGCCAGTGGCGTCTGTACAGGTTTTGTATTGAATATTTTTTAAGAAAAATATGTTACGCCACTGCTTTTTCTTAAAGTAAAAATCATTTTTGAAATCCTCATTCCTTTCTGAGTAAATGTAGTGTCTTGAATTTTTTTCGTTTCATGTACGGTTTTGGCATAACAAAATAAAATTCATTCATTTGCATCTTATTTACGAGAAAAAAAGATTTATGTAACTTTGAATAATAATTTATTTAAGATAATAACTTTTAAACGAAGAAATTATGAAATTACAGTAATCTACATACATTTTGGAATGGTAAAAGGAAATTACACTGAACGCACAAAGAAATAAATTAGGTATATCAGATGTTGGAAATGTCCACCTCCTGCAAATATGCATGCTTCTGCTCTTCTTCTTATGGACTCACTACCCTTTGGAAAATGCCGGGAGTGGTTCTAATAGTTTCGCAACGAACTATGATGCGATTTCTCAACTGCTCTTAAGTATGAATTGGTGTGCTGTAAACCAATGTTTTGAGATGACTCCATAGGAAGTAAGCTCAAGCATTGAGGTCCGGGGACCTAGGTGGCCATAACTGTGGTCCGCCGCGACCTATCCAGCGATTATTGTAATTTTGGTTTAAATATTCGCGCGCCGTAGCACTGAAGTGCGCTGGTGCTCCGTTGTGCATAAACCATAGTCGATTTCTTAATAAATGGGAACAACCCCCATCAAACCTGGCATTTCTTCTCCGAGAAAATGCCGGTAATTATGTCCATTTAACCTCTCATGAAGAAAATAGGGTCCAATTAAATAATCACCGTATATTCCAACCCACACGTTAATGGAAAACTGCTCCTGGTGACGGGATTTCAAAATTGCATGTGGGTTTTCTTCAGCTCAAATGTGATTGAAAAGTGATTGTTGTGGAAGTTTTGGATGGCGTTTCTGGAGAAGTTGGCTTCATCAATGAATAAAATTTCAGTGTCAAATGATGGATTTTTATTCACTTTATGAAGAAACCATTGGCAAAAGTTTATCCGTAATGGAAAGTCGCGAGGTAGTAGAGCTTGAACCCGTTGGATATGGTAGGGATATAATAAAAAGTCATGGAGAATTTTCCTAATAAGAATATGTGAGACATTCAAATTTTTCCCAATTTTTCTTGTACTTCTGGATCTTCCTCAATTGAATTCAAAACCGCTATCTCAATTTCTGGAGTTCTTACAGTACGGTGTACTCCATTTATTAGATTGTCTGGTTTAAAACTTCCCCTTTTCGCACAATCTTCTATTAATGTTTGAAAATGTTAGCGCATCCGGAATATTTCTATTTGGAAAGCGGTCTTCATACAACCGCCTGGCTTCCAGTGCGTTACCATCAGCAAGCCCGTACATGTAGTGCATGTATGTAAACTCAGAATTCGTATATAGGACCATGTTTTTTAAATAATGTTATTAATGTTAATGACTTAAATACGTGACAACTAGTCTGGGTAGACAACTGTCAAAACTGTTTATGTTTGCAAAACAAAATCTGCTTTTTACCTACTAGATCGTTTTTAATTCTTATTAATACCTAATTTCATAACAGTGTACAAATGAATGAATTTTATTTTTTTATGCGAAAACCGTACGTCAAACGAACAAAATTAAAGACACCACATTTGCTCAGAAAGGAATGAGGATTTCAAAAATGATTTTTACTTTAAGAAAAAGCAGTGGCGTAACATATTTTTCTTCAAAAATATTCAATACAAAACCTGTACAGACGCCACTGGCAAAAATTATAAAATAGTTTGTACATCAGAAAATGCATCTCGATGAATAGAAGGCGTGTACCAAATTTGAAAAAATATCTAGGGTAATACCAAAGTTATCATAAAATAATGTTTTTTCATGAAACTTTAGCACCCTGTAGTTCACAAGTTAAGACTTTTAGGACATATGTTCATATGAAGTTTTTTTCTTAAAATGGACCCAAGAATAACCTCCTTAAATATTAGCACGTTATTAAGAAACACCCTGTATAATTTTTTACGTAAAGTTATGAGGAAGTAGATCTGGTATGAAATTTGAAACGTGAGCTGAAAAAGTTTATTTTGAATTGGTACTGGTATACAGTGTGTCTCCGGATGGGAAATCCAAAGATGTCACTCAGGAAATGGTCAGAAAACATAGATATTAGCAGATCTCATATTCAAAGAATTTTAGTATACAACAATAATACAATGTCTATTCATTCAAACCAGTGTTCAACCATAAATGCTTGAAGGAGATGGTGTTCGTCGTTTAGAGACTTTTGTTTAACAATGGTCGAGAAACTGATTGAAACAAATTATTTCATAACAATATTTTATTTAATAACGAATCAACTAATGGCGTGGTTTCCTTTCAAAATTGTAGATACTGGGCAAAAGATAATGCAAATTTTCGATTGATAACTAATACTCAAAAATTTAAAAGAGTAAAGTCTGGTGTAGCATAATAACAGTTTTTAAGAAAAACAAAAATTAAACGCACTTTGCTTTAGGTAAGTTTCAAATTTTGAAATTTTTTGGACGCCCTGTAAGTTTTATTACATATTTAATTATTGCCCATAAGATAAGCAAAACTGTTTATCAGGAATAACTTTTTCTCTAAAAATCAACAATAAAAAGATAACAGAAGTACGGTACCCCATAACCTAGAATGCCTGTAAACTTACCTTACCAAATCATTTGTGATATGGAGAAAATAATGAATCAATAAAAAAATAAACTCTAATAATACAGGCTGATAAAGAAAATTGTGGCCTTGATGAAATAAATTTTAACTAAAACAACATGTAGGTAATGCTCAAAATGTAATTGTGAAGCGAAATAAGCAAAAAAGAAATGTGCCCATTTAAATTTCTAGTGATCCTATGGCATGTCCACCCAGGGTGACAAAATTAAAAACTAATTAACATCAATATTCATCATCATATACTTTTTCTGTATAAGGTATGAATGACCTGCTTATTTCTATTACGTAGAAAATTTTTTCCGCAGATTCTCAGCAATGTTATTCTAGATATTAAGCAGTAACCTTACTTTTACTCTTCTCACAATTTTATCAAAACGTTTTAGTTTTATTATCGTTATTAAAGTTATCTTTATAAGGTTCAGTATTAAAGTAAGTAAGTATCACTCCTTACTAACACTAAATCACTTATTATAAAACTTAAAAAAAATAATATTATATTTATTTATTTATTTTTGAGCATTCATAAGATTTATTACAGTTTTCTAAAATAATATAGTGTAAAAAAATGTATGCAACAATTTGGTAAAATTTTTGACGATATTTAAAGATCAATTATGGAAACAGTTTGCGCATGTCGAAAGATTATAAAATTACAAATATTCATGAATATTTTGGATGAATATATCAATTAGTGCAACAGTATACAGGGTGTTATACAGTATAAAGCCTGAGACATGTCTATTTCATTTCAAGGGCAACACATCATGGCGTAAGTTTTGGTGTCTTCGAAGCTACCCCTAAGGCAGGGGTGTAAAATACCCTTAAACTTTAATGGCACCCTATGTTCACTGACTCCTCTTTTTAAAGCTTTTTCAATTCTGCTCACGACGACATACGACTTTTTAAATTTTGGTTTGAATGTGACAATAAAATCACTTAAATAATTTGCTCCACTTCCGAACGAACATTTCGAAGTATTTCGGGCGTTATCTGACGACAATCGTCATCAATTTCTCGATAAAAAAATTTGTTTTGATTTTTCGTTTATCTGTAACTACAAAAACTTCATACTCTATCAGTTCAATGTTTTCCCTGTTTTACTTTAAACGAGACAATATTGTTTCG